TCTCCCTCCACCAAAGACTATGAAATATGTTTGATCATTCCTAGGTTATGTAGGGTTCTATAGGAGATTTATAAAATATTTCATTTTAATACCTAGACCAATGTGTAATGTTTTGTGTTTGGATGTATTATTTGATTGGAATAATGCATGTTAGAAATCTTTTGATACACTTAAAGGCATGCTTATTTCCGCATCAATTATGTAACCTCCTGACTAGTCTTTGAACTTATGTGTGATGTTAATGATTATGTTGTAAGAGCTGTCTTAGGACAAAAGAAAGATAAAAGACCTTATGTGATTTATTATGCAAGTAAAACTTTGAATGATGCACAGATAAATTATTCAACAATTGAAAACGAATTGCTTGTTGTAGTATTTATTATGGATAAATTCAGATCATATTTAGTTGGATCCTGTGTTTACTAATCATGTAGCTTTAAAGTACCTTCTTATGAAGAAAGATGTCAAACCACACCTCCTCTGATGGATACTCTTACTCCAACAGTTTGATCTCATTATCAAAGACAAAAAAGGAGTCGAGAATGTGGTGGTCGATCATCTGTCAAGGCTGAATTATGATACAAAAGCGGAGCCATTACCAATTAAAGAAACTTTTTCAAATGAGCAACTGTTTGCAATAGATGAGGTACCAATGCATCCTCTTTGAGCATTGCTAAAATGAATTTTTAATTTATCATTGTTGAGCTGTTATCCAAACCAAGCCTCATAAATGGGGAGGTATTCCTTAATGATGTCTGCTTCAAACCTATTTGCCTTGCCAAAAATCAGAATATCATCTACAAATAAAAGGTGAGTAACTGGGTCACAATTTTGAGCAATTTTAATGCCCTTTTAAACGGTTAAGATCCACCTGTTTGATCAATAATCTGGAGATAATTTCTAAGCATATGTTAAATAAAAAAGGTGATAGTGGATCTCCTTGACGAATGCCTCTTTGCATTGAGAGATTCCCCATAGGACAACTGTTTGTTAAGGTGAAGAAAGTGGTTGTGGTGATACATTGTTGGATCATGTGAATAAATAAGGGAAGAAAACCAAGAAGAGACAGAATTTGGAAGCGGAAGGTGATGAGAACCAAGGTGGGCCTACTCTTAAAGATCTTTTACATGTCCAGATGGGCCAATTACAAAGGTCAAGGAAGCAATGCAAGGATTGGTGCAATCCACTTGGGATGAAACTAGCAAGAGCCTAACACTCAAGATGGGCTCGAAAGAAGGAGAACCAAGTTTGATCCACTTGATCCAAACTATGGAAGACATGAAGACATGACTTAGAGATAGGGACTTTTGTTGTTAAGGCTTTCAATTTGTTTAAAGGATTTTTATTATTAGTTGAGAATAAGTGGGCCTCAAGATGCTTGACCCACATGTCTTATTTCTTATGAATTAGGGTTTTTGGGAAGGCCTTGTATTTTGGACAAGGGCTTATTAGGAAATTTATTATTTTATTTGAACTAGGGTTTTAGAAGTTACTGTAGCACAACACTATTCACGCTACAATACCGCGGCACTATTCACTCAAGGGCATTTTTGAGAGAAAGTGTCACAAATTTTAGTCTAGGGTTTTATCATGTTTTGGGAAGGGTATTTAAAGGATGTAACCAACCACTTTAAGGAGGGGGGGGGAGACAATATATTAAGTTTTAATTGTGAGTTGAGTTGAGTTAACTCCTCTTGTTAATGATTGAACTTTTGAACTTATCAAAGGTAAATCACAACCTTTGTGGCATTCCTCCTTGTAGTTTGGGTTCTTGAGACGGGTTCTTCAACAGGTCTAAATTTTAATATAATCTAGGTTCTTGAAATGAGTTCTCAACGAGTCTAGATTCTTCATCCATAGACTTGAGTTTAGCTTTCTTGGGTTGTATTTCCAATATTGTTGTTGGGTCTCAAAACAAGTCGATTGGGGTTCACATCAGAAGGGTCATTCAATTTTATCAAAGGCTTTTGACATATCAATTTTGAGAAGCATAAGCACACCCTTTCCTCTTTCCTTCTTTATTATGTACATAATCTCTTATGTTAAGACTACATTCTCTACAGGATTTCTACTCGGAATGAAAGCAAATTGGTTGGGAGCAATGACTAAATCCTGAAAAGGCCTGATACAATTAGCTAGTATCTTGGAAATTAGTTTGTAAGTCATGTTGCAGAGGCTGATGGTTGGTAGTGATGCACTGTGGAAGCTTTTGGAAACTTAGGAATTAAGCATAGATTTGTTCTATTGAGCTCAAAAAACATGTGACCTCCTACAAACAAACTTCTAACTAGGCTAATAATATCACTTTCCACTGTATGACAATAAGTTTTATAGAACAATACTGACATACCATCAGGTCCTAGAGCTTTGGTTAAGGGCAATACAAAGAGAGTGGCCTTTATTTCATCAGGGGAGGGAATGTAACAGAGGGGGGAGTGTTGATCTTCAAGAATGGTGGATGGAACAAGGCTATTGAGCACTGCAATGATTTGGGGATTATAGGAGGAGAACAGAGTTTGGACATGCGATTGGAATTGAGTTCCAATTTTAGATATGTCAGTGAGTCAATCCTCCTCGGACCTATTTAGACAATCGATGGAGTTCCTTCTACCTCTTATCACATTCATGGTGTGGAATAATTTGGTGCATGCATCGCCTTCATGCATCCATTGAATCCTAGATCTTTGGCACCACAAGATTTTTTCTCTTTTCAACTGTTCAGCAATTTCATGAGATAGTATGCTTTCTTCAACTATATTGCCCAAGGATGGATCAGACTGTTGGAGAAAGTCTATTCTATTTCTTATTTGCTTTGATCTCTAAATGCAATTTTCGAAGGTTTCTTTGTTCCATTTCCTAAGGGCTACCTTAGTGGCTTGCATTTTCTTGTAAAACTTGTAAGCAAGGGAACCCCTAATGTTGTTCTTCCAAATGGATTTCACTACATGATGGCTAGCTGAATCTCTGGTCCACATGGGCTCAAATTTGAAGGCTTTGGGAAAAGGTAGGCCATCTCCTAGGGTGTTAAGCAAGTGAGGCTTGTGGTTTGATTCAATAGTAGGGAGGTTCTTGATGTTAGCTCTGGGAAGAGGGTACGCCAATCTTGGTTCACTATGTCAAGCGTCTCCTTGATATTTGCAAGGCCAACTCTTTTGTTGGACCATGTATAAAGGTTACCTTCAAATCCTAGATCAATCAATCCTTGACCTTCAATAAAGTCTGCAAAGCATATGGTCTACCTCCACACCTTTCTCCTTGCAAGATGACATTATTGAAATCACCAATAAAAAGATTCGGTCATGCATAATCTTTAGTGACTTGGCATATGGAGTCCTAGAGTTGGTATTGCTTGGGTTTTAAAGTGGGAGCATAAATACAATTTAAAAGCTAGTGTTTATCCGATGGATCAAAAAGAACTAAGGTAGAAATGAGGCTTGAATTAGAGAAGATGATTTCAAATTCAACTCCTTTCCTCCAGCAAAGTCAAATTCCTCCAGCTTTGCCCTTTGAGGGCTAGATGTCAAAGTTATAGAAACCAAGGCTATGGAGTATTTGTTGGGTTTTTTCTAGGGGAATTTTTGTTTCCAATAGGAAGATGAAGTCTAGTTGAACTCCCTTATTTGAGCCCTTAGATGTTGAATTGTCGAGGTTGATAGAGTAGTATACTAAAAGTTTGTTTTTTGTAATGAAATTCGTTTTATTAATTAATAAAAGTTTATTCTTTCCATTTTATTGAAAATCTATATAGACAAAATGTTTGTATTATATTTTATATATGATATGCATATGTCTTATATTTTACATTGTAGATAATCTGGTGTGTAGAGTTCGGCTTATACACAGAAGACCAAATTATCGGATTCTTGTATAATATGAGTATATGTTCACAATAGTAGATGGAATTGGACACGTCATTGGTATGATTGTAATATTCTAGCATAGTCTGTCTTAACTATAGGAAATTGTTTGATGTCTCAGATTATTGCACTAGTACACTTTGTGTATTGAACATACTCATGTTGATGTTATTATATTTTACTGATTTAATAAGATAATAAATACTTTATGATTGATTATGCTCTTAGTCCCTAAATATTTAATTGTCATGTGCATATAATGTTTGTCACTTTAATTCATCAAATAGTGAGATTCATATTGGGTCAATAAGTTCGATGAATTGGGAGATGATATTATTTGTATGGTGAAAATTAAATATTAAAGTAAACCGCGTCCTAATATTTAATTGGGTTGATGATGTACTCTTAAGAAAACTCATAAGATTTGTCCATATCAAACTCTCTAGGTAGATTTAATTATTCGACATGACAAATAAGTTGAGTGGTAAAATCTCAAAGAATAAAAAAAGTCAATTAAATATAATTATTAGTGATTTATTTAATTGATGGACAGCTGTAAACTTAAACGTGAGGAGATTATTAACTATATAATAAAAAGAAGCTCGAATATAATTTTGAGATAAAGCCCAAAAGATCAATAATAAGTCTTTAGTAGACTAACTTATTATTGATCTGAGTTGAACATATGAATTCTAAGCCCATTGGGAGAGCCCGATCTTTATTTCTCCTTAGGGTCTCTGTCATAGCCTATATATAGACATCTAAATTCTCTATTTCAGCATCTTATCTTTACTCACATTTTTAGGGAGACAGAAAGAGAGAGCAAGGATTCGAGGTCTTAGCAGTCCACACTGCATTCAAATTCCGACGTTGGGGGATATACAATAAAAGACCGCGAGGTTCATCAAGCTGTAGTTGTTGTTCTGTTCTGCATTCGTGCTGAGACAAAATCAATCCCGAGAGATCTCGAAGGTAAACCCAAATTCCGCCTTATAGGATTTTAAAAGAAAATTTTTGATATTCAATACATACGCACTGTCAACGACTCTTGGGATTCCGTTCCAACCGAGGTATGGGCAAACCTCGACAGTTCCAAATGTAGCCAATCATTGAGAGGGTGGGGGCATGGTAAGGCCCACCTCCTCAGTCGATTGTCCATTCAAACTGAAATTCATAAAGAACATTAAACTCCTTGATTATTTTTATGCATGTGAACTTTCTGAGGAGTTTCCTACCAAAAGTGTCTGGGGTGTTAAGGGGATCATGTTCAGAAGTTTGGGAGTCATCAGGTTCAGTAACAATGTAGTTCACAGGGTGGTATTCTTTGTTCACAGGTGAAAAGGGTTGGTTATCTAGTGTGGCATATGGAAAAGGAGGTCTGGGGAAGTAGGTATTTAAAGGGGGTAGCGCAAGGGTGCCATCTTCTTGTCTGTAGAATTTTGTTGGCCTATTGTTGGAGGTATCTTCCAGTATATGGCGTTTCAACGAGAGGCCCTTAAAGACAGTTTCCATACTTTCATCTACAACTGTGTGAAGATGGGGAGGAAGAGGGGAATTTTGTAGGGTGTGAGGGGTATTTATGGCTGGGGTCAGGCTTATGGCTGGGTGGCTTGGGGTGAGGCTTATCTGAGGGGATAACTATGTATGTGTGGGTTGGTGCTTCAATTGGGCCTTCATAGTTGTTGAAGGTATATAAATGGGTAGAGGTGGTGGTTGGTTTAGATTTGGGTTGTTCTAGGCCAGGGCTTGATTGGTAGTGGTATGCTGGGATAAGTCAATTGGGGGCCATCTAAACATTGAGACATGTGAGTTAATGGGTTAGGGTTAGGGTTAGGGCAAATATGGTTTAGGAAATCAAAGAAGTTAAGCAGCGCGACCTGTGATTCTATTGGAGTCGGGACGAAATCATCCGATCCACATGTCTCTTTCTGCGTGGAGTCAGTGCGTGAATATGCGCCCGCATTCACGGTCTGGGACCATGTGCCGAATCTTTGTCGGGTGTGGGACGCGGTGTGCGTGAGGAAACTGGGTCACGCGCCACTTCTTAGAATTCTCCAGCAGCAGTCTCCGATGAATTTTAGTAACCAGCGGCCTTCCATGGATTTGCTCTATGTTGAGGACCATAAATTGTAAATTTGTTCTCCGGTGATGGATGAGCACATAACAGTTGGTCATGGCCTATCCTCCCACAATTGTAACCAAAATCAATAAATCACTCATATTTCAGTTGAATGAATTTCTTAGGACGTCCAGTTCTGGGGAGGCAAAAATGGATGGGTAAGGGTTTGGTTAAGTCCAACATGATTCTGGTCCTCGGGTAGTTTTTCCACTAGGTTTTTTGACTGAGACTTTGCTCGGCAAGAACGGGCTTACCCAGAGCATTGGCTATTGTTTGTGCATTTTCAGGAGTATTCATCTCTGGGGGTATACCGTGAGCTTGAACACAGAAAAGTGCCAGAGGTGAAATCTATTTGAGAAAGGGAAGATGCTGAGTTCCATTGTTTGAGGACGAGGATCTGACCTTTTATAGACCATGGGCTTTGATTTAACATTCTGTTCCTCAGTTGTTCGTGTACAAAGATGAAAATGAAAGTCATTCCCATCTTGGATTTCCAGTTGATGTTCAGAGTTCCATGCCCGATTGAGAATGGTTTTAATTCCATTCCTATTTAGGGGTTTTGAAGTGAATAGTTTGCCAACCAGGCAAGAGTGGGATACAAGATCAGCAATGGGGGGGTTGGTATGGAGCTGGATGGTGGGCTGGTCACAGTATCGGAGGGAAGGAATTGAAGAGTTGATGTGTTCAGTAATGGAAAGATCACCTGGATGTAACATTGGTGAAAGATCGGGTATGGAATGGAACTGTGGGTTTGTGATTTTAGAAGAGGGACTCAAAAAAAACTGCTTTTCTGATGAGGTGAACGTTGGAACAGTGAGTGTGGTTATCAGTGGGAGGTGAGTTGCAGGGGATGTAAGCATCTACAGAAACAATGAGTTTTACAACTAGCTAGCCAAAGTTAGTTAAAATTCGAGTGTAAAAAAATATAACCCTTAATTCAAAACAATAACATAACAGGATTCATATAATAGATCCCAAATAATTGGCACCAAGTCTTTATTGTGTTGAGGCATGCTTAGATTGAATTTATATGCAGTTCGAGTGCAAAAAACGGCCGGTTTGAATTTCAAGAGTTATTTTTTTGGGCCATTTGTCCTAAATCAATTGCGCTCACAGTTCAGTGGTCACCCACCCACCACTCAGACCGTCAGACGCCTACTCACCTCTCAGGTGATGAGACTCACTACTCCAACGACCTTTCAAGCGAGGAAGAGAAAGCAAGAAGGCCAGGGACTCAGGGAGACTGAAAAAAATTCCTCCGCTTACTTCGACAAGAATGATACTTCTTTGCCAGAAGCTCTCTATCATTCGACAAGAATATTATATGATTGGCTCAACCAGCTAACTATGTGGTTGAACCAGTGACCCTATCTTCTTGCTGGATCGATAGCCAATCCCGTTCGGATAACATTGCTACAAACTCTCCCAAAAAACAAACTTTTTTCTAGCAATTGGTCAAAATTAATTTCTCCTTCCATTTTCTTCCCCAAAATATATTGGTTCCGAGATGTATGGATTTGTTCTAGAAAGAGAACAGGCTTGAAAAACAAAAAATATACAGGAAATTCTCTTTTCACAAGTCTAATTTGGTGTCTAAACCTAGCCGTTCTCAAATCAAATCCCCTAAAGTTGATTCCCTACAAATTGATTAATAAAGAGAGGCATCACAGAAAAAATTATGACCAATGCATGAACTTTCCGTCAATAATGGAATCCAAAAGAAATAAGAATTTGATAGACTTATCTTTCTCAAACTCAAACATGCAATAAATTGCTTAGGTAACCAAGGGCTCATCACTGCTCCAGATTCGACCAAGAAAGTGCATTATCACATCATACATCAATTAAAATAAAAAAATTATGCCTAAGGAAGAAACTTAGAGGGGGAAATTGATTCAACTATTTTAGCTGGAATATGATATATGACACAGGTTGACCGAAAAAAAATCCAGATACTAGTACATACTTTCAAAGTTGGATTTGCGATCTGGCTAGAAGCCAGTTCTCTGACACTTGCTTTTAATTGAAGTTGTCTGTGCACCATTATATTTCCCAGTATAAGAAGCTTACAACTCCCAGCTAAACAGCCCATCATGAATCCCTTACTTGTTCCTGCAGATTCTGTTCTCTTCAGGTGAGGTCCATATGCGCTTTTGCCTACATATCACAGAATTTTAAGTAACCAACCACAGTACATTTTCCCCAGATAACAGTCCTACATCAAAAATCAGGTTGTTCAATTAAGTTGCCTTCAGAGCTATCATTTCTTCATGAGCAACACTTTAAATCACTAAGGTGGTGCCCTCTACACCAACAAAGCCACAATAGCGGCAAAACAAACATTCACACTCATCCTATTCACCGTCCACCAATGGGTTTTCTCAACTTAACTAAACAAAGCCTTGTCTCAATATTTTTGGGGTTGGCTAAATGAATCATGCTCTACACAAATGAATCTTATGACATTAAAAACAAAAAAGGATAGGATGCCTGGAAGTTGTGTTTGGTGTAGAGTATCATCCCTCAAAACAGTTTAGACTCTTTTGGCTGGTACTAAACACATTATTAGTCAGGACGGCATTTAGTCACCAAACATCTTATTGAGTCTTTTAAATATTGGCAAGAGACTTAGGAGGAAATACTTTTTTTTCATAGACAAAAGTAGGACTTGGAAGGACTTCACATGAGGTGAAGTTTCGTTGTGTCGTGCTTTCTTGATTTCAAGACAAGCACAAGCACCTGCCCACATAAACCAGACAAGGAATTTTAATTGATATTATATCCACCTTTATAAGGGCTGGAACCAGACCATGAAATTTTAATTGAATCATATTAAACTATATAAGGTCCATTGCCGAGTGCAATAGACAATTAGTAAAGTATCGACTTAACAAACTTGAGATTATAGACCCGAATTTGAGTGCAGCCACGTTGCATAAATAATGCTAAAGTTTAGGTCAACAACTAGTCAATCCCTCCCTTAAGGGGGGCGAAATAAGGTAATATAAACCTATGCCTAATGCCAAATGTCTACAATTTTCAAGGGATAATGGGAGAGTTGAGAATCCCATTACAGGGGACTCATAGAGTGCCTTATTTGTAAACATGAGTTTGGAACCTATTTCGATATATATTTCCCTCAAGTCAACTCAATAAAGCCTTATCCCAATAATTTTTTGGGTAAGTTACATGAATCCTGTTTCGCCTTTGATACAATAGCTATACTTTCTGTTAAACTATAAGTTATACTATTTTTCTCTACCATTTCATTTAAAACTAATGTTGGTCTTTCTTTACACCTTCCTTTATCGTCAGTAGACATCGAATCAATGGTAGATCGTCTAGAGATATATCCAAACCATCTAAGTCAATTCTTCCTTATTCTATCTCATATATGTGCTAAAACTCTACTTTTTCACAGATTATCTCATTCATAATTCTATCCTTGCTAGTTTTATCACACATTCATCTAAATATTCTCATTTCTGCCACGCTCAATCATTGGACATGTTTCTATTGCCCAACACTCAATATCATAAAACCTTATTTGGTCTGATGACAATTTTATTGAACTTTCCATATAACTTAAGGGGCATGCGCATATCATACAATACACCTATTCCTCCATTTAATCTATTCTACATTAATTCCGACAGTACCATTGACACCAATCTCGCAATACCTATGGATAATTGACCCCCAATAGCAACAGTGTCCCCAGTTTAGTATCTTCTGATCCTCAATCTTTACTACTCCCTGATTTGGATCCTCATTTTATTAAAGTTTCAATCTATATATTCAGTTTTATTTCTACTTATTTAAATCTTGTTGATTCTGAAACCTCTCTCCAAATTTTTAGTTTATGATTAAATCATTACTTTCATTAAATTAATACTACATCACCAACAATTTAACATACACCATGAAATTTCATTCTAAATGTCTATAGTCAATTAATCAAAAGCAAAAAGACATGGAGTCAAAGCCGACTCCTAATGTAAGCCTATAGTGATTAATAATTCATTAGTCTCTCATGACCGTTGTTCTCTCTAAAGTCACAATGTTTTTGTATATATCCTTGATAACCTTATTAAAGTTCTTATTTTCTATATTAGACATAAGTTAATTAGTGTAACATAATATTGTAATACTCTAATGCTACTCAATTATAAATAAGAAGTGTAGGGCAACCTAACACACACTACTGATTATTACTCTCAATCTCTTACTCTCTCTTTTCCCTTCTTCTTTTTTCTTTTTTGTATCTCAAACCCTAATCCATATTTTACATATTCAATTTAGTATCATAGCACATTATCTTGTTAAAAATGGAAAGAAAAAAACCTCAAAACCTCATTACGTGAAGTTCCAAAAA